CTTTCTCCTTCAAATGACAGTATCCTCTTCTGTCCCCAAGGTCATCCAGCATCTTCTTATGTCATCTTTTGAGGAGAAAATGGAAATATAAAATATGCATGAGTATAACTTTTAAAATTGATATTTGTAAGAAAACTTTACCGTCGTTCTGTTTTACGATAATTTTATGTTACTTAAAAAAATAGGCCAGTCGTCATGGCGACTGACTGTTTGGCCGGGATTCGATTATCAGTCGGAGTACAGCGTGCAGACCAACTCTGGGGCCCACCAAACCTCCCATCCAATGGGTACCGGGAGCTCTTTCCCAGGGTTAAAACTTGGGACAAGAATTTGATCACTCACCTCCATCTAGGGCGGAGGTAAAGAATGGTGGAACTATACCTCTACTCCACCATACTTCTTCGTGGTGTGATGCTTAATTAATTAAACACAGGGAAATCTTTGCTTTTAATATGTAGATTTTTATTATGATAAGTTTTAGTTTTGTTTTAATTCTAGTGCGACTTAAAACATATATAACCGAAGTGCGCAGGGAGCACCAGCAGGCTAGCAGCCGCTGTGATAGACAGGATTCCCAGAAACTGACTGTACGGTAAAGGTCGTGATAAAACCATACGGTCGGCCCGCATGATGGCACAGATATTGAATGACTTCTCACATCATCGTCCCAGATCCCTTAAACGCAGTTGTATGGAAATCAGCGCAAAGGAATCGAACAGACTGGTCGAAGCCACTGGAGCGTGAATATGGGTGTGAGTGGAGGGTTCGCAGTGGGCGCTACATATGGAGGCTTTAATAGGGATAACTTGGAATTACTTTTTGACGCTCTACCACATGAAGACGACGCTAACAGTAAGGCCGATAGTTCTAAAACGAAATTGTCAAGACACCATAGACGAGAGAGTCGATTATCAGTATACGAATATTATCGAAAACTTTGTGATGATGGTATATTAATATAATTGTCGACTTTTTGGACACCTATGGTCCTGTTTTTTTATTTAAAAACAACGTTTCGGACCTTGGATTCTGTCTCCGTCCTTGTTTCCGGAATGAGTAGACTTTTATCTAAGAATGGAGACAGAGTCCAGTCTCCGAAAAGTTGTTTTTAAATAAAAACAGGACAATGGATAATGTAAAAAAATCAGTAATTATACGAATCTTGTGTTGGACTTTGTTCATCGTCAAGGGCTTATTTAACATACACAGTTCTGGAAACTGGATCACTTTGGCCCTCTAGGAGAAGCTGGTCTCGATCAAAATATATTCCAGACAGTGGACATTGCCCAACATAATATTAGCATAGCGACTCGACATCGTTGCAGACCTTAGAGGATCAGTCGTTTGTCAAGTTGGCAGTGTTGTTAATTTCATTATCGAAAAGAAAAATGCTTAGAACGGATTCCTCGTTCTCATGAAGCCACGAATTAGATAATGTTTTTCCAAGAGGAACTTGGAACTGGCAGTCAGACAAGACTTACTTACGCAACATTGTACTTACTTACTTATGGAGCAGAGCTCTTCTTGAGGAGCCGCCAAATCTGCAGCTACTCAAGAATTTCGCAGTATTTTATGAAACCCAAAGGTTCATTACCGCGTTCACAAGAGCCCTCCACAGGTCCCTATCCTGAGCCAGATCAGTGCAATCCATACCATCTCATCCTGTCTCTCCAAGATTCATTTTAATATTGTTCACCCACGTACGCCTTGGTATTCCAAATGGTATCTTTCCTTCTGGCTTTCCGACCAATATCCTATATGCATTCCTCGTCTCCCCATTCGTGTTACATGCCCTGCGCACCTCATCCTCACTTAATATTTCAATTTTTAATTGTAATTTTAATATTAATACATTCGTTTATAAAAACATTACGTAAACATAAGAAACCTAAAAACTTGAACAAGCACTCCCGTTTTGTAAACACTGAAGGAGGACTGGCAGATAGAAGACGGGTATATACCTGACGATGGTTAATAAAGTCGAAACATGTAGTAATTAACACGTAACGTATAGTGAATATATGCAAACACTTGTGTCGACGAAGCAGTTATAAAATTTTCTAACACGGTACGACGCTACAGTGCGGCGTTTCTAAAGGTTAATCAGGCTTGCATTTTTGAGACCAAAGACAACTAGGCTGATCACTAATATGATGGGCTTACAAAGAAGATACGAGAAACTACGAAGACGGTTCAAAATATGCAGGATATATTTTCGCATAGTGGGGGGGGGTCCAGTTGGGTCCACTCGGCATGGCGGCTACTGATTGGCCTATTGTACCTGCCCTGGGTGATTATGATGATGGAGAACTTGGTGGAATGAACATTGGCAGGGAAAACCGAAGTACTCGGAGAAAACCTACCCCAGCGCTACTTTGTCCACCACAAATTCCACTTGACCAGACACGAGTTTGAACCCAGGCCGCCGCTGTGGGAAGCCAGTGACTAACCGCCTGAGCTTTGGCTCTTGCACCATACATGCTTAGTAATCAAAATACATATGACACACATAACCAGCAGGCCCAGCAGTATAACACACGCAGTCACAGGAGCAAGACACAACACAAAGCACAATACACACAAGAAAGTAGGAAGAATACTCCAATAGAAGAGAAGATAGGTGTGACTCGCTTATTGAGATACGACATAAGGATGACAAATCCTGAACAGTTTTAATATTTCTAATATTTAAAATGTATCAATATATATGACGAATATATATTTTAGTTATTTTAGAATAAAGACAACAGGGCATGCAATGAAGTAGTTCAACGTACATCAAAAAGCACCGGAAGATGGCACTTTTGTGCTGAAACATGTCGTGCAAGAGAGAAGAGTAAGGTGAATAAATGTATGCACTGTAAGACGGTCAGAATAAATCATGAACATAAATCAGTGCAACAGGACGCTAAAATATAACATTATCAAAATATAGATCATAAAATGGAGAATAACTGTGTATAGTCTGCAAAGATGATGTTTTCAAGACTAGTTTCTTAGCTTTCGTTCATTGTCTAGTTTGTTTATAAAAGAGACCACTTTTTTTTTTATAAATTTCTTTTGTTACCTTCATCAGGTGGACAGGGTAAGAAAATATTCATGTTCTTTGGGCTTCTACATAGAGCTGCTGTCATTCTGGACCAGAAGAACAGTCTTCAGCGTTGTCATACCATCGTCAGATAGTTTAAATATGGAAAAGAATGACCCATGAATATTAACAAAACTAGTACACGTATTTATATAAAGGGGTTAGGAAACTAAATGAACAGAGATATGACGAGTGGAGCAGTAGTGCCTTCGAGATGGCAGTCGACTTGAATAGCAGTGGGAGAGAACCCAGAAGCGCGATGTAAGCGTACTGCACAAACTACATTCATTTGTCAGTTAAAATGGTGGGACATTTCGAAATGGGAACACAGCAAACTTAGGACAAAAACAAGTATGGACATATTACATATTAGACAATTTAGCTTAAAACTAAGAATTAAGACGGAGAGGGCCGTTTTATAAAGTACACACAGACAGGATAACGAGGGAAAATTGTATTTGCTATTTCGATACGTTACAATTATATACGAATGAATGTGTATAAGGGGTGGGCCTTCTCGGCCCTTGCACCGCGATTTACAGTGATCTATTGTGCTTACAATTATATAGCAAGGACAGTCGTATATCGTGACGTGACGCCTGAAAGCCGTAATAGTGAAACCAGAACCAGACGTCCGTTGATAAGCAACGACTAAGTAAACACTAAGTTTCTGTCACAACGGCGAGTTGAAACACGTTTCCGCGGCAACGAATACGCTGGGATAAATCAAAGCGTTACCCAGAGATTGACACACGTTTCCATGGCAACGGCGAAAAACAGGAAGGCTAAGATATAGAATCCAGAATTAGAATTCGAGAGAGAGAGTTCAGTAGGACTGAGAAGGCACTAGTAAGCAGACGTTGAAGAATTCATTGCATGTGTTATAGTTACAGTAATCTTCAGAGTGTTATAATTTCTTGTACTTACGACTTGTGAGTATGTAGTAAATCGATTCACCAACCCAAACCCCGCCACAAGTCACTAATACACGTGACACTATACAATAATAATACCATATAGACATTTATGACATGTAAAGATTGTACCTTATGTTCAGAAAATTTAAGTACAACTTTTTAATATGGATAAATGACTAAGATAGGTGATAACAGCAGATGATAATATTATCTGGAATTTTATGTAAATAACTGAAATTTAAGCATAGGCCCTTTATGTATACTTAAATATTTTAAATTATTATTAATGCCATGATAACATAATATTTCGCTTATGTAACTTGTGACTTCATGTCTTTGGGATGTGATATGAACTTGTACAATTTTGGTAAGATAAAAATTGGCATATCGGGTCACTGAATAAATTGTAATAGTTCCTGTATAGCGTCAATATAACTCAGTTGTGTCTGATTGTATCAAATCACTTTATGATTAAAAAGAAGGGTTATAATTTCTGTATCATTATGAAATTAACATTTCTGATCCGAAACTACCTCTCATGCGACGAGTGGTTACTTACAGGAGAAAGTATGTCAATAAAAAGGGCCTCCGTGGTAGCACTGCGAGGAATGACAGGATTATTGGGCTAGTACTAATAGCAAGTTCTTCCGGACACAAACACGCACAGATTGGCTCAGCCTGACTCCGTCTAGCTGTTACCAGATTCTAGTTCTTGCCAGACTTCATGTTATTTGTCAGTACGTCCAGTGTACTATTGAGATAATGCATTGAAGATGACAGTGACTGGTTGTAGCCACGCTCCTTTCTGCTCGTAACCACTGAGGCTGTCTTGTCTGAATCGACGCTACAACCTTGTAAAGAAACGAAATAAATATTGATTGTATTGGTTTTCCCACACACAGTAGTTCCAGCACTAAGCAGTTATATGTCATTCATAACATAGAGCTGATCAGGAGGAAATTGCAGTAATGTGCAATTCTGTTTTGTGTTGACAGAGCCGCTGAGGGCCCGCCGCCATGAGGAGGGGGGCTCTGATTGGATCCTGGTGGGGCGTCGTGTGCTCACTCATCGTGGCTGTCCAGGGTGAGTAAAGTGACTCATTCGCAATTGACGCCTAAGTTTTGTTTCCTGCCGATATAATGTATTTACACCAGAAATAGCGTAAACTTAGGAAGGCTTGGGGTTTGTATCATAACGGGAAATAACCTATTTTTAGGGGTGCATTAATATCATTTTAAGGCACTTACAAAAGTAGCGATAAGTATATATATATGGTGGTTATTTGTTTCAGTAAAATGTGTTGTATGCGTGTTTGATTTGCACGGTGTAAGCCTAGATGCATAGGTCATAGTTTCACCAGCTCCCTTTCTTGCAAACATCGTGTTAAGTTTAGCTGTGTGGGTGTTCAGCGTTAAGCACATGTCCTGAAAGAGATATTCTGAGACAAATAATTTTACAATACAGTTCTCATATTCTGATTCTTTTTAAGGAAAGAGGTTATGTAGTCATATACGTGTATGTTCGGGAACTGCAGCGTATGCAGCATTCAGCTCTCATCATCTGGTCGTGCACGTGGCAGATTTGGAGGTAATTTATTCTTGAGAGGATTTACGGTCCTCCCGGTTTCGGTGTGCACGCATAATCTGAGGTCTCTTGAAGATTTTATTGTATGTTCGAAGCCGCTAGCTTCCATCGATAATTGCGTTTTTGTTTGTTGTACTGTGATGGTAGGGACCTTGCGATGGCCTAAGCGTTTTTGTTTGTTGTACTGTGATGGTAGGGACCTTGCGATGGCCTGAGAGTTTTTGTTTGTTGTACTGTGATGGGAGGGACCTTGCGATGGCCTAAGCGTTTTTGTTTGTTGTACTGTGATGGTAGGGACCTTGCGTTGGCCAGAGCGTCTTCCTTTGTTATTCTGTGATGTGATGATACAGACTTAATAATGGCCTAAGCAGTTTTCTCTGTTATACCATGTTGTTAGGGAGCCGGGATAGCGCATTTGTTATAGTGATTGGCTACGGGCTGGACGTCCGAGGGTTCGGAGTTCGAGTCCCGGTAGGGTCAAGAATGTTCTTCTCCTCTTCCAGTCAGACTCAGGGGCCCACGCAGCCTCCTATCCAATGGTACCGGGGGGCACTTTCCCCCGGTGGTAATGTAACCGCTCCACTGTCACTCACCAATTTAATAATTAGAATAACCGGTAATAAAAATTAAGTGCAGGTAACAAGTAATACCAAAGCCAGTGGGACATAGTCACATTCTTGTTTTCAGGAATGGACTTATTCCAAATCTTGATGTTACACAGGAAACACCCCCTGTGGCTTTTTCTGAGAAATTTTGTTTGTGAGTAGCACGGCGGCAAACTTTGAGAATTCGATCACTGACAGGTCCTGCACGTCGTAACTTAAAAGTAGGCGGTTTTGAAGCCCACGCCAAGCAG